TTTTTCTATTAAAACGTGCATGACATTTTGTATTCAAACGTGCATGACATTTTGTATTAAAACGTGCATGATATTTTCTATTAAAACGTGCATGACTTTTTCTATTAAAACGTGCATGACATTTTGTATTAAAACGTGCATGACATTTTATATTAAAACGTGCATGACATTTTCTATTAAAACGTGCATGACATTTTATATTAAAACGTGCATGACATTTTCTATTAAAACGTGCATGACATTTTGTATTAAAACGTGCATGATATTTTCTATTAAAACGTGCATGACTTTTTCTATTAAAACGTGCATGACATTTTGTATTAAAACGTGCATGACATTTTCTATTAAAACGTGCATGACATTTTGTTTTAAAACGTGCATGACATTTTGTATTAAAACGTGCATGACATTTTCTATTAAAACGTGCATGACATTTGTATTAAAACGCGCATGACATTTTATATTAAAACGTGCATGACATTTTGTATTAAAACGTGCATGACATTTTGTATTCAAACGTGCATGATATTTTGTATTAAAACGTACATGACATTTTGTATTAAAACGTGCATGACATTTTGTATTACGTGCATGACATTTTGTATTAAACGTGCATGACATTTGTATTAAACGTGCATGACATTTTCTATTAAAACGTGCATGACATTTTCTATTAAAACGTGCATGACATTTTGTATTAAAACGCGCATGACATTTTGTGTTAAAACGTGCATGACATTTTGTATTAAAACGCGCATGACATTTTGTGTTAAAACGTGCATGACATTTTGTATTAAAACGTGCATGACATTTTGTGTTAAAACGTGCATGACATTTTCTATTAAAACGTGCATGACATTTTCTATTAAAACGTACATGACATTTTGTATTAAAACGTACATGACATTTTGTATTAAACGTGTGACATTTTCTATTAAAACGTGCATGACATTTCTATTAAAACGTGCATGACATTTTGTATTAAAACGTGCATGACATTTTGTATTAAAACGTGCATGACATTTTCTATTAAAACGTACATGACATTTTGTATTAAAACGTGCATGATATTTTCTATTAAAACGTGCATGACATTTTGTATTAAAACGTGCATGACATTTTGTACCAAAACGTGCATGACATTTTTTAATAAACGATCATGACATTTTGTATTAAAAAGTGCATGACATTTTGTATTAAAACGTGCATGACATTTTCTATTAAACGTGCATGACATTTTGTATTAAAACGTGCATGACATTTTGTATTAAAACGTGCATGACATTTGTATTAAAACGTGCATGACTTTTAGTATAAAACGTGCATGACATTTTGTAAAACGTGCATGACATTTTCTATTAAACGTGCATGACATTTTGTATTAAAACGTGCATGACATTTTGTATTAAAACGTGCATGACATTTTGTATTAAAACGTACATGACATTTTGTATTAAAACGTGCATGACATTTTGTATTAAAACGTGCATGACATTTTGTATAAAAACGTGCATGAGATTTTATTAAAACGGCATGACATTTTCTATTAAAACGTACATGACATTTTGTATTAAAACGTGCATGATATTTTCTATTAAAACGTGCATGACATTTTGTATTAAAACGTGCATGACATTTTGTATTAAAACGTGCATGACATTTTCTATTAAAACGTGCATGACATTTTCTATTAAAACGTACATGACATTTTGTATTAAAACGTGCATGATATTTTGTATTAAAACGTGCATGACATTTTGTATTAAAACGTGCATGACATTTTGTATTAAAACGTGCATGACATTTTCTATTAAAACGTGCATGACATTTTGTTTTAAAACGTGCATGACATTTTGTATTAAAACGTGCATGACATTTTCTATTAAAACGTGCATGACATTTTCTATTAAAACGTGCATGACATTTTATATTAAAACGTGCATGACATTTTATATTAAAACGTGCATGACATTTTGTATTAAAACGTGCATGACATTTTGTATTAAAACGTGCATGATATTTTCTATTAAAACGTGCATGACATTTTGTATTAAAACGTGCATGACATTTTGTATTCGCGTGCGCAATGCGAAGGCCACGAGTGACTGACGTTGGAGTGTTGGAGGTTCGATATAATTTATCCCGAGTGCTTTATACATAAGTGACATTTCTCTCTTGGAAATTATTCATATCATACTTTTGTTGTCAGATGATGATGGATCGTCGCAGGATCAGGAGGATCATCGCAGCATCAGATGTTGAAGAATCGTCGCAGGATCAGATGGTATGGTATGGTATGGTATGGTATGGTATGGTATGGTATGGTATGGTATGGTATGGTATGGTATAGTATGGTATGGTATGGTATGATATTGCTACCTAAGTGATATTTGTGATTTGAAAATCAATGTCATATCATTGTGATAAAGTATCGTTGCAGGATCAGATGATGAAGGATCGTCGCAGGATCAGATGTTGAAGAATCAGATGTTGAAGGATCGTCGCAGGACTAGACGGACCGTCGCAGGATCAGATGTTGATGAATTAGATGTTGAAGGATCGTCGCAGGATCAGTGATGAATTAGATGTTGAAGGAGCGTCGCAGGATCAGTGATGAATTAGATGTTGGAGGAGCGTCGCAGGATCAGTGATGAATTAGATGTTGGAGGAGCGTCGCAGGATCAGTGATGAATTAGATGTTGGAGGAGCGTCGCAGGATCAGTGATGAATTAGATGCTGGAGGAGCGTCGCAGGATCAGTGATGAATTAGATGTTGGAGGAGCGTCGCAGGATCAGTGATGAATTAGATGTTGGAGGAGCGTCGCAGGATCAGATGTTGATGAATTAGATGTTGGAGGAGCGTCGCAGGATCAGTGATGAATTAGATGTTGGAGGATCGTCACAGGATCAGACGGATCGTCCCAGGATCAAGTGGAAGCTGGTTAAGGTATATACTATAGGTATGGATGATTAGTTCATGCTGCATGGCATTGGATCCTCCTGGTGGTCTAACCTAGTATATTCACACATCAAGTGACATTTCAATCTTTTCGACTATGCATGATAACAGGAAATTTCTCACAGCTCTTATTAGGGCATTTTTCGAGTTTTCTCGATTTAAAATTTCCTAGTTTTGTCACTTGTGTGAATACGTGTGAAATCCAACGACGTAGCGTCTGCGTATGCATGATGGCTTTAAAGCGTTCAAAAGAAACTAACAAAATGCAATTTGTTAGAGAAAATATCGAATTCGTATTAGCCTAATTTTAGATTAATACGAAGGTAATCGCGAGTACTTATATGATTATATAAGTTCTCTGTTCAGCCTGTTATAATGCGTTTCGAAGGACCGTCCGTCAGTGGCAACAAAAATTATACCTTAGCATGGAATTTTGAAGTTTGAAATGAAAAAAAATGAGTGCTTTGCTGTTTAGACACTAGTACTCTTCTTTTTCCCTTGTTCGTATTAATTTTTTGGTTTGCAGTTGTAAGCTTTGAAAAATCCGATTAATCCCGAACATGAAGGAAATAAACGTAATCTAATCACTTTGACTAACTTGATGAAATTTGTATAAGAGGAGAAAATATACCTCCCATATTGCATTGCATGATAACTGGACTTATAGTGGGGGGTATCTCGAGGTATAATGTTTAAACTGTAGGTTTAATATTGTATAGTACTCTCTTGCCTGAAAAGCCAACCCTTTAAAGAAAACCCTTTGCATTTTGACACACTTACTATGTTGTTTAATTTCTTACACGCCCAACCGTCGAGATGCTGTTGAAGAAGAACATAACTGTTTGGAGTGGAGCAAAGAAGCAAGTGAAATTCGATACATTGTTTACCAAAGGTAATTATACGTTACGAAAATTTAAAGGTAAGGGGACATTATTGATTAGCTATATTGAGTAAGTTGCATGTTCAGCCCGATTACGTTTATTTCCTTCATATTCGGTCAACCGTAATCCAGAACGTATAAAATAAAAATAAAAACAGTGCATGAGGCATGTCTTAAAAAAGGGGTAGAAGAAAAGTGTTATTGTCTACATCAGTTTGATATGATAAAGCATGCAAGTCGTGAAAAAGTATTTTTTTATCATAAAATGAACATTTGAATAATTCGGAAATAATTTTCGTTGCCATTGTCGGACGAAGCGCAGTTGAATGTCTAAGAGCATGATGTTTTGGGCGCTCTAAATATGCGCGCTCTCCGCAGGTTAGACCACCAGAAGAATCGAATTAACGAGGATCAAGAATTGCATGGCAATTCCTGGGATTCGGTTTGAAATTAGCGGAGCTGAAACGATGAATTATAGATAAAAACTGAAGTGCATGTCATTGCGAACGATTTCTAATAAAAATACCAAATTCGGACCGCCGGTCAGGTAACCTGAAATTCAGGTTACCTTTGGAGGGTTTTTCACCGGGCACTCCGGTTTCCCTCCTTTTCGTTTGGCTTTAAAAAAGAGTGTCCAGGCCTGGGGCCAAACCAAAACGTGTTGTTTGATAGTGATAAAAACGCGTTTGTGGCTTCTGGGTTCGATTCCCAGAACACTGTCGTAAAAGAATTTTAAAAAGATGGTTGTGGAATCATTACGTAATTTACGTAATAAATAGGAAATATCTGGCATTGTGATTAGCACGTAATAGGTCCTCATGGTCAGGGCCGCGGGGATAGACCACTGTCAAGGGGGAGGGCATCTCCTGTACTCCAAAAACCTGAGAACGAAGATGTGGGGGGGGGGGGAATTAGACCAAAATAAACCACAATCGATGTTTGTGGGCAAAAATATGTTTTTGGTCTGATGTTATAGCAGGCCCAAAAAATATTAATGCTCAAGAACATAAAGTATATTATTATATTATATTATATTATATTATATTATATTATATTATATTATATTATATTATATTATATTATATTATATTATATTATATTATATTATATTATATTATATATATTATATTATATTTATACAATGCAAGTGAACATTTTTAGAATTGGTCTGAGCCAGCAAGGTAATAAAATATATAGCTGGGTAAATTTTTCATTTTAGTCTTCATACATTGTAATGCTGATTTAGTTGTTGTAATTGTCCATGTGCATGATTAGCATCAACCTAAATGCTAATTTTCCAATTTCAAAGTGTTTAGTTTTTTGGGACACCCTATACATATATCATAATAATTTAATAAAACATTCCATTTAAGATATTATGTGTCATATTTCATTGATAATGGGCTCTTAAATTTATGGTTGTTTCGCTCTATATCAGAGCTCGTCAGCATGCCTAGGAAACACAAATGAAATGATGATAACATCAATGATTCTGACATGGACAGCCTGACCTAGGGTCTGGGGGTGTGAAATTAGAGTTTTCCTTCTGTTAGGTGAACTGCACTGCCTACCATGGCTAATGAGCTCCACCTACCCAAAGTAACTTTATTTTGCACACAACCATTAAAATCTTGTTTTATGTGTGTCGACAAGTGTCTGTACTGATGGAGGAGGAACAGGGGCAATATTGGGTGCAATTTGTCTAGGATCATTACTTGGAATACCAAGTCTTTTGTTTACATTCCCTTTTGATGTGATCCTCTTTATAAAAACCTTCTGCATCAGTTCAGGAATGTAACTAAATTCTTTTGGTACAAGAACACGAACACGGCACCACTGTTGTGTACGCTTACTGAACTTCCGACCGTACCTAATAAAAAAAAAACTTTACAATTCCATACAATATGAGTACCATTACACTATAAGAATGCACAGGACTTGAAAAGTTGTTCACACTTAGGATGGGAACACTAAGGCAAAAATTTCAATACCAGTACCTTTCTTTCCCATCAGCTGTAGTTGCTGGTGCTCGGCCTCTGTGGTGGTTAAAGTCCAAGGCAGCAAGCTGGTTTCTAGCTTGGTATACTGAGTATCTGAAGATACAACAAACATCAACATTCTTTTATTAACAATGTTTCCTTGCATGGAAATCAACCATGATAGGAGTTTTATTAGCTGTTACCTTTGTAATAACATGTCATATACTTACGAATAGGCATGGCGCTTTGAAGCATACATCAAAATTACATTATGAAAGGACTCTAAAAATCCTGTGTGCCTAAAAAATATTTCAAACTTTGAGATGATATAACTTATCTGAAATTTTCAAATATCCAATCTCATTTGTTACCTGAAGTTAACATAATACACCAAAGTGTTTAAAAAGCGAGTGTCCAGAATGATCTTTGCCAGTGCTTTATGGGCAGAAGACTCTTTCTTAAGCCATGGCTTCTTTCTCTCACTTTAATTAAGAGGATCATGTTCACATTTTCCACCATTTACACCTTCCTTCAACACCCACTCATGCTCATCAACAACATGGTGTAAAATACCAATCCATTTATCCTATTAAAAAATATAAAAAATACAACATAAAGTGACTACATATTAACACATGTATGTACAGTTTGCACGAACTAGATAAGTATTGCTGCAAAAACCAGTAGTACTTCAATGTGAATCTTACTTTGAGATTTTTTGAGTCATTAGCACATGTTTTTGAACAATACCAAAAATGGTTCCTTATTGATGGTGCCCAAAAGGTCAAATCTGCATTGTCTTTAGATTTAGCAGCCTAAAGAATAAAATCAATTCTAAATAAAGAAAGTTTTTTAACTAATTGCTGGTTGATATCTTCAACACTTACAGTAGTGATTTTCTTTGCAATGTTCTTTGCTCCATGCCACACATCATTCTGATGTGTGACCTCCTTATATTTCTCTTCCCTTTCTAAAAAATGCAATAATGCTTAATTAATAAACAAATGCATGTTGTAAATATTCCCTTACTGTCTTTTAAAGGGTAAACACAATTAATTATATAACATTGTAATCAATCTGCAAATGAAGTTGTTAAATTATTGAAAGTCTGACAATATTGATTATAACAGGTTGAACAATTAGAGTTTCAGGAATTGCCATATTGTTATAATGTAGATACTTACTCATCAATGCAGCAATTTCAATATGACCATCAGTTACCACCTCCTTCATAACTATTGGTGATGCAAACAGTGTGTCCATCCCTCTTTCAAACCCAATCCTCTCCATATTATTGCTCTTACCAGCAGCTTCTCTGACATCAACCACATTCATTTGCAGTATGGCACGATCATTGGTATCAGCCAAGCTGTAAGTACATTATTGTGCACTATGGCCAGGCGAGTCATTTCTTCCATCACCACTCAATATAACCTCTTTGTTCTCTCTTTCTTTCCAACATTTCTGTTTGTGTTCTTCCCAGTAGTCATTAATGGCAGGGATGATGTACAACTTCTGATACTGATTGAATAATATTGATGAGAAATACTGCAGATAATAGAAGTTGAACTCAACCCCACCTTGGTGTAGGAATTGCCAGACAACAACAAATCAGAAGCAAGCACAAGGTTGCCTGCTCTAATCTTGTTGCAATAGGGTTGAGCTGCCCATCTGCCTCCAACATGACCAGACCTACACCCCCAGGATACGACCAGGCATGTTCCAACATATGTTTTCTTATAGCTCAACACACGGCCACATCCTTGTCGTTTACAAACACTCCCATGTAATGATGTTATCAAAGCTATAAGAGTGTCTGTAAACACAATACACTTTTCCTTCTTGATTGCATCTTCAGGACTGACTTCTTCCACAGTAGAGATGTATTCTGGTTGAGTCGTCTTATGTTGCTGCTGTTGTTGTTGTTGGGTTCCAACATCTTCTGTGGGCTCATCTCCATCATGTTCACGGATTGTCACATTGAGCAAGTCATCCAGTAATGGCACGTCAAAACCCGGGGGACATACACTACAGTAAAATGGCAGTAAGAGATATTATTGGACGAAATATTTTATGCCATATTCAGTGATATATAATGTGTATATTTATGTTTTAAATCAATAAGCATTACAGTAGGAATGTCACAAAGATTATTATTGAGGTTTTGCATCATCACTTACTCAAGAGAATAGTCCGACAAAACCTGGTCTGCCTGGATAGTGTGTTCACCAAAATTGTCATTATCATCATCACTTTCATCATCAGAACTATCATCTTTGGCTGTCAATGTTCGACTGTCAGAAATCACACTCTGACCCGACCTGAGATATAAACACATATTGCGTATTAAAAAAGTAATACTCTCTGCGCGAAACTTTGCATGTATGGGTTTCAAATTATAAACTCAGTAATCACAATAAGTTTCAAATTACCTGATAGAATATGATGTTCTAAATCCGACAAAGCAGACAATGGACGCGGATTTGAGTGCGCGCTTGGCGTTGAGGTTTTAACTATAAAATATTTCATACGAATGTTTTATGCGAATATTTTAAAAAATAATAAATGTTTACGTTTTTGGAGCAGCACTTTAAAACATATGTTCTTACTGGGAGAAGAAAAATATTTGGAAGGTGTACTTGGCGGCATATCCCTTGATTCCATTACCGTTTCGGTTTGCGTCTCTGCATTGCTAAAGTGAGTTCAACACATACATAAAAAGCATTATGAAGTAAACAAATAACACACAAAAAAGGTCAGAGGTTTTATCATTTTATACTTACCAAACTATACGATTCATCGCAAGATAGCTGTCAAGAAGCATATCCGCCACATCCTTGTCTGTTCTCAATTTATGCTGCTCCTTAAACGCTCTCCATCGAGGGAAAGAACCCAACAAATACACTTTAGAGGCATCTCTACTAGCATAATATTCTTTTCTACTCGACGACATTACTCAGTGCTCTTGAAAGATTGAGAATTTCTTTCTTAAATTGTCGGCTGGTCATGGTTTTTAGACTGAACTATGACGTCAAATTATGACGTCACTTTCGCTAGGCGGGGCTTATTTTGCTACTTCCTTACGCTTTTACTCTTGACTTCCGATTTTTCGATGGGCGTGGTCAGACACGCCCACTTAATCTAATTATGATGTCAATTCCAACGGGTGGGGCTTATTTCGCTACTTCCTTACGCTTTGACTTTTGACTTCCGGTTTTTCGATGGGCGTGGTCAGACACGCTCACTTAATCTAATTATGACGTCACTTCCGGTGGGCGGGTTTTTTTCGCTACTTCCTTACGCTTTGACTTTTGACTTCCGGTTTTTCGATGGGCGTGGTCAGACACCCCCACTTAATCTAATTATTACGTCATTTTCGGTGGGCGGGACTTATTTCGCTACTTCCTTACAATTTGACTTTTGACTTCCGGTTTTTTGGTGGGCGTGGTCAGACATGCCCACTTAATCTAATTATTACGTCACTTCCGGTCTGCGGGGCTTATTTCGCTACTTCCTTACGCTTTGACTTTTGACTTCCGGTTTTTCGATAGGCGTGGTCAGACACGCCCACTTAATCTAATTATAATGTCACTTCTGGTGAGCGGGGCTCATTTCGATACTTCCTTACGCTTTGACTTTTACATTCTGGTTTTTCGATGGGCGTGGTCAGACACGCCCACTTAATCTAATTATGATGTCACTTCTGGTGGGCGGGGCTTATTTCGCTACTTCCTTACGCTTTGACTTTTGACTTCCGGTTTTTTGATAGTGTGGTCAGACACGCCCACTTAATCTAATTATGACGTCATTTCCGGTAAGCGGGGCTTATTTCGCTACTTCCTTACGCTTTGACTTTTGACTTCCGTTTTTTCGATAGGCGTGGTCAGACACGCCCACTAAATCTAATTATGACGTCACTTCCGGTAGGCAAGGCTTATTTCGTTATTTCCTTACCCTTTGACTTTTGACTTCCGGTTTTTCGATGGGCGTGGTAAGAAACGCCCACTTAATCTAATTTTGACATCACTTCCGGTGGGCGGGGCTTATTTCGCTATTTCCTTACGCTTTGACTTTTGACTTCCGGTTTTTCGATAGACGTGGTCACACACGCCCACTTAATCTAATTATGATGTCACTTCTGGTGGGCGGGGCTTATTTCGCTACTTCCTTTCGCTTTGACTTTTGACGTCCGGTTTTTCGATGGGCATGGTCAGACACGCCCATTTAATCTAATTATGACGTCACTTTCGGTGGGTGGGAATTATTTCGCTACTTCCTTATGCTTTGACTTTTGACTTCCGGTTTTTCGATGGGCGTGGTCAGACACGCCCACTTAATCTAATTATGACGTCACTTCTGCTGGGCGGGGCTTATTTTGCTACTTCCTTACACTTTGACTTTTGACTACCGGTTTTTCGATGGGCGCGGTCAGACACGCACACTTAATCTAATTATGACGTCTATTCCGGTGGGCGGGGCTTATTTTGCTACTTCCTTACGCTTTGACTTTTGACTTCCGGTTTTTCGATGGGCGTGGTCAGAAACGCTCACTCAATCGAATTATGACGTCACTTATTGTGGGCGGGGCTTATTTCTCTACTTCCTTATGCTTTGACTTTTGACTGCCGGTTTTTCGATAGGTGTGATCAGACACGTCCACTTAATCTAATTATGACGTCACTTCCATTGGGCGGGGCTTATTTCGCTACTTCTTTACACTTTGACTTTTGACTTCCGGTTTTTCGATGGGCGTGGTCAGACACGCCCACTTAATCTAATTATGATGTCACTTCTGGTGGGCGGGGCTTATTTTGCTACTTCCTTACGCTTTGACTTTTGATTTCTAATTTTTCGATGGGCGTGGTCAGACACGCCCACTTAATCTAATTATGACGTCACTTCCGGTGGGCAGGGCTTAGAATGCTCATTGATTTGCGGTCATTGTATGAAACCTTCCTGGTTGGTTCATGTCCTTGCCATGGCTTCACAAAAGTGCCAGGGCATATTGGTAGTTTCTACCACATTGTTTGTCGCCATAGCGTAAGTATAGAAATATTTCACCTGCAATGCAACTCTACTTTTGAGACGTGTAAATTACGAAAGTACAACTTATATTTCGTATTGTTCTCTCAACATATCGAACATCTTCACTGACACTAATTAACATCTCTCAAGAGCAGAATTGCATTGCAAGTTGCAAGAAAAATTGCACCCTGTAACAGGGCATTTATCATCTTGTTTTCTTAGACAACCGTAGCTCTAGTCTGAGACGTATACAGTGATATACCATTTAGAGCATTTATGAAATTTACATTTATAGAATTTTTACTCTGGGTGTTCTAAAAAATAATTCTTTTGGGTGTCCTTTCCTTTCAGGTAACCGCAGCTTCAAAGTTTCTGACTTTCCAGGAGTCAGTAAGAGATGCCGCCGATCTCTATTTATCATTTAAGCATATTCCTCTTGTTTTTCTTTGCGACACGGCTTGTGGGTTTGTCAGGCACTTAGAGTGCTGGGTCAGTAAAGAAATGACCGAATAGCTATGGAAAGGTGACAGAGGGTGTTTTGAGGTACCATCGTTGGATAAACCACCATCAAAGGTATCGTTTACGAAAAATCTACATATCACTGGTGTATTGTGCACGTTCATTGCCCTGCAACATTTTTATAAAACATTTTTATTCAGTCAAGGCTAACTTAAGATATGACTTGAAAACAGTTTAGAATATTCTGAAAACCCATAAAATGGAACAAATAAATTATTAATTTTGTCGTCATGACACTTCTAGGAAATGAGTGTCCCTATGCTGACAACAGCAGAATACAGAAAAAGTGACAATGATATGATACAGGTGGAGGATGGTAGCATGATTCATCCATTGACAGGCACATCCAGGAGATATGTTTTAGGTGACAGATTTCACACAGCAAGCAATCCTCACAAGTCACCCCTTTGTGAATATCACAACATAAATCTTTTGTCTCAGTTGAACACGATAAAAACAAGCTATCAAGAGTCCGAAAACAACTGAAAGAATGTGCGATGGTTACGAAGCTCGACGATGCAAAATTTTTCCACACACTATTTTAATAACTTTTTGATGGATTTCTATCAAAATGAGGAAATAGTAAAAAAGCAACACGACGTAGCTTCGAGACACGTTGGGTAGCTGGAGCTCGTCAGTCTTGGAAGACAGTCCACCTAGGAGAAGGAAAACTCTGATTTAAAACCCCCAGACTCGTGCAATAAATGGGTCAGGCTGTCCATGTCGGATTCATTGATGCTGCTAATAATTATTGCAATACTTAATGTTTCCTAGGCATGCTGACGAGCCCTGAGATAGGGCAAAACAGCCATTATACACGTATTGTTATACGTAGTATTATTTATTGGATCTAGTGTTCATAACTTTTCATATCTTTAGAAAGCAATTGGATGGTTTATTCGTTGTTCAATGTTTGCAATTAAATTATTTTCTAGATTTCTGTTTGCAGAAGTCGCACAGCCTATAATTAAAAAAAAAACTTGTTAGAACGTCAATCATATTTATAGGACGTTGAAGTATTAATATAACTGTAAATGTATTGACTTACCACTTTCCTTTAGGTACTCTTTCAATTCCTAGGCACTCCTGATGGTAGTAGCCTTTACCTGGACACTATAGTTATGGTTGAAAAATAAACAGTTATTGACCGACATTCAGTTTTAAGGAAACTATTAGTGGGATACGAGATGTAGTATCGTTTATTTTACAGATAGTGGAATGAACATAGAAACCTCAACCAGACAACATAAGATTGCTTTTATAAATTTCTCGTACATAAGGTTCTCGGACAAGAAACTCTCGGTACTGAGAAAATATATGCGAGCTTAACTGTTTTACTGCATTTGAGCACGATGCAAAATTGAATCTAGTCTATATGTACTATTTTATACATACGTTCTTCTTGTTTGTGGTTTCACATATCAGCATCATGTCCTACGATTCTTTATCTCTTTCCTGGAACGATTATGGTATATACATCATTGTATATACATTGTATATACATCGTGCAACTTGCTCTTAATTCAGAACTGTGTGACACAAAGTTCAGAAGTTCTAGCCGGTAAGAGAACTTAGGAGGAAAACAAATGTAAATAAACTGATCAATGATGATAATGTATTTTCCTTTAATGCTGGTATCATGCATGAATAAAAAGGACTTAGACTGGAATTGCACTGGTCCAATATGAATTCGGAGACACACAAGTTTCCCGTCCGAAAGTTACCGTCTCGTCCAAACAGTGGGAAAATTATGCTGATATTGAAAAATTGTATAAGTACGTCATAAAACTAGATGTATGATTTACCTCTTTGCATGAACACCATTTGTATACTTTAATTTTGCCGGAATTCGGAGGACATGATAATCCACTCGTCCCAGCAGTTGTCCCAACACTTTTATTATCAGATCATGTAGAGCCTATATGTGATTTAAAAAAAGAAAATATGCTCATGAAAATGTTGATGCAAAAAGTCCATGGATTTGGACAGACACACTTGTTAATCAGAATTTCTTTTACTTACTCCGAGGAAGAACGCCAATAGCACCTTCTGCAAATAATCGCTTTCTGGTGTGCGATTCACCTGTAATTAGTTAAAAGGCATAGACATATTTATGTTATATATATATATATTATATATACAGTAATTTATATAATCGTACTTGCAAACCACACAAGACACATCGTATATCGTTTACCTCTTGCAGGCATTTCATTTGCTTGCTCGCAGACGTTTTGATCGCCAGTTGCTATTGGGGTTGAATCGGGAATTTTGTCTTGGGAAGTTCTCACATCTGTTGTATTGTGATCTAAGATAATTGGAAAGAGCAAAATAACGTAAATGAATTGTATGCCGGGCAGCAACAAGTATTGCATTAAGTCAAGTGCACGCAACTGTAGTAACGAGCATAAATATTTGCATGCAAGCTGAATAAGTAAACGGGTCTCTTTATTATTTTTTGCGCGACTTCAATGGCCTGTAAATTAATCAAAGAAAAATTGGTAACGCTTAAAACTTTATAACATTGTTAAAGAAAATTAAAAAAACTACAAAAGCATCAAAACTCGTTAGTAATTCGTTTTGATATTTTTAAAATGACATACCCAAGCAAATGTTTTCCTTTTTCTTGGAGTCAGGTTGTTATATCTAGCCTTTGTGTTCGGTGTAAGTTTCTATTTGAATAGTCAAGGATACACAGTGAAACACAGATTAGACAAGTCGTTAAACTGCTCATACAATCTCCTAACTGAGTAAGCCTGCATACCTCTGTAAAACTGAAGTTGAGCTCCTCTTCACTTTCTGTAGGTGCAGTTGTATTTTCGCGATATTGCATGACATGAATATTTTTAAATGCTATACAAATGTGTTATTAAAGGTTTCAAAACATTTAATATGCTGATGAAATACTCAAATAGTAATCCTCATCTGATTCTGTTATTTCTGTATACCTTCTAACTTTATCCTCAACTCGTTTTCGAGAGTGTCCAAGCTTTCGCAACCTTCGTCCGATATTGTTGTTGCTGGATTGTTGATTTCTTCCATATCACTCTCATTGGGGGCATCATCCCGAATTCCACTAGCTTATGAGTAATATTGTTAGAACAACGATTACATTCAAGATACAAAACAAGCCTAAACTTCGAACCAGAAAGAATTGCACAGAAACTTTATTTAAAACTTTCTTACCATACACTATCATATGTTGCGTGAATGGCATCAGTTTCCCCAGAAAAATTCGGTATGCTCTTTTCTGGCAAACCTGTTTCCTTTTAATCATTTGCTCCAAGGTGCATTCCCTGTCTTTGCCGAAGTATATCCCTATTGTCCCCGGCTCCCGTACAAGCGTACTTTGCAATTATTTGAATTCCTATTAAAACAACAAACATTTTGTGAAATGCAGTCAAAAGACCGTGTTAGACTCCAAAACTGTACGTGTTACTCACTGTATGTGAAATATCGACAAAACTGTCGACAGCAGTTGACAGTAGCGCAATGCCTGGAACCTTCATCCCTTCGATGTTCTTGACAGTAACTTTAGGGTGCAGCCATGTAAGAATCTTAAAAGAGATCAGCAAAATCTGTGAATGTTAAATCCAAGGAAATCGAACACTGTGTATATGGCGCCATTTAATACTTTATTTCATTCGGAATTTTTTTTATGTAAATAGAAAAATGAAAGAAAACAAACCGGGTCTTTTTCCTCGGCTATCTTTTCAAGGATGTTAGCTTTTAGCCTTTGCATTGTTGAATGTATACTGACTGTCTGCACCTTTAATAACTTGCGGCATGCAAACAATACATAATCTTTGGTGTTCGCTTGGTTACCACACGAGAAACGTAACTAAAATGAGAAACATAAGTCATGTAAAAATGAACTCTATTATTGAAAACTAGTCCGATCTATTTTTTGCGAGTTATTTGAGTTTCACATACCAGAGCATTTGCGACCAAAATCCTGAATCAAGCACATGCCGCAGCCATCTTGCTTTTGGAGGTAAGGGGCCACGCTGCTCTTGTTCAATTCTCACATTGAAAAATAAAAACAAAAAGCAAACCAAAGTGTGCTACAACTGCTACGCTTGCTAGGCTTGCTACGACTGCTACGCTTGCTACGACTGCTACGACTGCTACGACTGCTACGCTTGCTACGCTTGCTACGCTTGCTACGCTTGCTACGCTTGCTACGCTTGCTACGCTTGCTACGCTTGCTACGCTTGCTCCGCTTGCTACGCTTGCTACGCTTGCTACGACTGCTCCGCTTGCTACGCTTGCTCCGCTTGCTACGACTGCTACGCTTGCTACGCTTGCTACGCTTGCTACGCTTGCTACGCTTGCTACGCTTGCTACGCTTGCTACGCTTGCTACGCTTGCTACGCTTGCTACGCTTGCTACGCTTGCTACGCTTGCTACGCTTGCTACGCTTGCTACGCTTGCTACGCTTGCTACGCTTGCTACGCTTGCTACGCTTGCTACGCTTGCTACGCTTGCTACGCTTGCTACGCTTGCTACGCTTGCTACGCTTGCTACGCTTGCTACGCTTGCTACGCTTGCTACGCTTGCTACGCTTGCTACGCTTGCTACGCTTGCTACGCTTGCTACGCTTGCTACGCTTGCTACGCTTGCTACGCTTGCTACGCTTGCTACGCTTGCTACGCTTGCTACGCTTGCTACGCTTGCTACGCTTGCTACGTTTGCTACGCTTGCTACGCTTGCTACGCTTGCTACGCTTGCTACGCTTGCTACGCTTGCTACGCTTGCTACGCTTGCTACGCTTGCTACGCTTGCTACGCTTGCTACGCTTGCTACGCTTGCTACGCTTGCTACGCTTGCTACGCTTGCTACGCTTGCTACGCTTGCTACGCTTGCTACGCTTGCTACGCTTGCTACGCTTGCTACGCTTGCTACGCTTGCTACGCTTGCTACGCTTGCTACGCTTGCTACGCTTGCTACGCTTGCTACGCTTGCTACGCTTGCTACGCTTGCTACGCTTGCTACGCTTGCTACGCTTGCTACGCTTGCTACGCTTGCTACGCTTGCTACGCTTGCTACGCTTGCTACGCTTGCTACGCTTGCTACGCTTGCTACGCTTGCTACGCTTGCTACGCTTGCTACGCTTGCTACGCTTGCTACGCTTGCTACGCTTGCTACGCTTGCTACGCTTGCTACGCTGCTACGCTTGCTACGGCTGCTACGCTTGCTACGGCTGCTACGCTTGCTACGCTTGCTACGCTTGCTACGCTTGCTACGACTGCTACGCTTGCTACGCTTGCTCAGGGGCGTAACTTGACCCTAAGCGTTGGGGGGGTGTGAAGCAAATTTGCCCTACCAAAGGGCGTGACCAGCAACAAATACGCGGAAAAGGGCGTGGCAACCAAATGCAATTATAGCTCTTTTTGATAGGCTGTGAGACAGTTATATATTTATTACGCAAACCCGACTGCATAAAACTGAAAGCGAGATTTTGATATATATTTCGGAAATTATTGAAATCTACGAGGCGCCACCATGGTTGGCGCCGAGAGAAAGATTTTCGAAGATTGGGTCCTCTAGATCGTCGGAAACGGCCTTCTCAGACTGGCAACTTTCTCTCGAATTGTAAGTCGCACCCACGCCTAATTTTCAAGACTTCCCGCACCCGAACTGATTTTTTCCCGAGATTCGGAAGGATTCACTTTTTTCCCGAGATTCGGAAGGATTCACTTTTTTCTCGAGATTCATTTTTGGATTCACTTTTTCCCGAGATTCATTTTTGGATTCACTTTTTCTCGAGATTCATTTTTGGATTCACTTTTTCTCGAGATTCATTCTCAGAAGGATTCACTTTTTTCTCGAGATTCATTTTTGGATTCACTTTTTCCCAAGATTCATTTTTGGATTCACTTTTTTCTCGAGATTCATTCTCGGAAGGATTCACTTTTTTCTCGAGATTCATTTTTGGATTCACTTTTTCCCGAGATTCATTTTTGGATTCACTTTTTTCTCGAGATTCATTTTTGGATTCACTTTTTCCCAAGATTCATTTTTTAGTTCACTTTTTCTCGAGATTCATTCTCGGAAGGATTCACTTTTTTCTCGAGATTCATTTTTGGGTTCACTTTTTCTCGAGATTCATTTTTGGATTCACTTTTTCTCGAGATTCATTCTCGGAAGGATTCACTTTTTTCTTGAGATTCATTTTTGGATTCACTTTTTCCCGAGATTCATTTTTGGATTCACTTTTTTCTCGAGATTCATTTTTGGATTCACTTTTTCCCCAGATTCATTTTTGGATTCACTTTTTCTTGAGATTCATTTTTGGATTCACTTTTCTCGAGATTCATTCTCGGAAGATTCACTTTTTTCTCGAGATTCATTTTTGGGTTCACTTTTTCCCGAGATTCATTCTCGGAAGGATTCACTTTTTTCTCGAGATTCCTATTTGGATTCACTTTTTTCCCGAGATTCATTTTTGGATTCAGTTTTTCTCGAGATTCATTTTTGGATTCACTTTTTTTCTCCACATTCGGATTCGGAATCACTTTTTTCCCGAGATTCATTCTCGGAAGGATTCAAAGTGTAAGGAAGAAGATAAATAAGCGATGCCCCCCGGAAGTGACGTCATAATTAGTTCAGTTCTGATTTTTGTATAGTTCACTCACAGTTCAGTTCTGATTTTTGTATAGTTCACTCACAGTTCAGTTCTGATTTTCGTACAGCTCACACAGTTCTGATTTTCGTACAGTTCAATACAGTTCAGTTCTGATTTTTGTATAGTTCACTAACATTTCAGTTCTGATTTTCGTACAGTTGACTCACTGTTCACACACAGTTCAGTTCTGATTTTCGTATAGTTCACTCACTGTTCAGTTCTGATTCGGAATCGGAATCACTTTTTTTTCGAGATTCACTTTGGACAACAAACTTTTCAACAACATTTTAACCACTTTTTAACAACTTTTAAACCACTTTTTAACAAATCTCCTATGTCTTAGGCTAATTTGTAAAGTGAGACACAGGTAGCCCAAGACCGACACAGGTAGCCCAAGACAGGCACATTAGCCCAAGACAAAAGACTTTTTTTTTAAAAAAATTTGAGAGAATCAAAGGAAGTTAAAAAATGTTAATATAGGAAGTTTAAGATTTTTTTTATTGAAGAATTAATTTGTGTTGGGCTACCTGTTTCGAAGCAGACACAGGTAGTCCAAGATAGACACAGGTAGCCCAAGACAAAATTCTTTGTGGTCAGGAAAATCCAGATAACTTAAAAAATATGTAAATGCTTTGAGCTTGATAAAATCACTAGGATAAGGATTTAATGTAAAAATTTGTGTGAAAATGTGTGTGAAAATAGATTTAAAAATGGTGTGAAAAAGTGTGTAAAAAGTGTGTAAAAAGTGTGTAAAAAGGTGTGTGAAATTGGTGTAAAAAAGTGTGTAAAAAGTGTGTAAAAAGGTGTGTAAAATTGGTGTAAAAAAGTGTGTAAAAGTGGTGTAAAAATTGTGTGTAAAAATAGTGTTAAAAATGGTGTAAAGATGCTGTAAAAATGGTGTAAAAGTGGTGTAAAAATGGTGTTAAAATGGTGTTAAAATGGTGTAAAGAAGTGTGTAAAATGGTGCAAATGTGTGTAAAAGGTGTGTAAAAAATGGTGTAAATGTGTGTAAAAATAGTGTTAAAAATGATGTAAAAATGCTGTAAAAATGGTGTAAAAGTGGTGTAAAAATGGTGTTAAAATGGTGTAAAGAAGTGTGTAAAATGGTGCAAATGTGTGTAAAAGGTGTGTAAAAAATGGTGTAAATGTGTGTAAAAATAGTTTTAAAATATAGTGTAAAAATAGTATAAAAATGGTGTTAAAAAATAGTGTAAAAATGGTGTAAAAATGGTGTAAAAATGGTGTGTAAAAAAAGTGTTAAAAAATGGTGTAAAAATGGTGTAGAAATGGTGTAAAAAAGGCGTAAAAAATGTGTAAAAAACGTGTAAAAAAGTGTGTAAAAAGCGTGTAAAAAAGTGTGTAAAAAGTGTGTAAAAAGTGTGTAAAATTGGTGCAAAATTGGTGCAAAATTGGTGTAAAAAAGTGTGTAAAAAAGTGTGTAAAAAAGGTGTAAAAAATAAAAAAGGTGTAAAAAAGGTGTAAAAAAGGTGTAAAAAAGGTGTAAAAATGGTGTAAGAAAGTGTATAAAAAGAGTGTAAAAAAGTGTGTAAAAAGTGTGTAAAAATGGTGTGAAAAGTGTGTAAAAATGTTGTGAAAAGTGTCTAAGAATGGTGTTAAAATAGTTTAAAAATGGTGTAAAAAGTTGGAAAAAAGTGTGTATAAAAGTGTGTATAAAAGTGTGTAAAAAAGTTTGTAAAAAAGTGTGTAAAGAAGTGTTGGGGGAGAGGTGCAAAAAGTAGTTAAAAAGTTGTTAAAAAGTGGTTAAAAAGTTTTTAAAAGATTGTAAAAAGTTGGAAAAAAGTTAGAAAAAAATTTAGAAAAAGATGTGGAAAATGTTAGGAAAAAGTTGGGAAAAAGATGGGGAAAAGATGGGGAAAAAGTTAGGTAAAACATGGAAAAAAGGCTGGGAAAAAGTTGGGAAAGAGTTAAGAAAAAAGTTGTTAAAAAGTTGTAAAAGAGTTGGGAAAAAATGTGGAGAAAGATGTGGAAAATGATGGGAAAAAGATGGGAAAAGGATGGGGAAAATGTTGGGAAAAAGTTGGAAAAAAAGTTGTTAAAGAGTTGTAAAAGAGTTGGGAAAAAAGTTGGAGAAATATGTGGAAAATGTTGGGAAAAAGGTAGGAAACAGTTGGAAAAAAGATGTGGAAAATGTTGGGAAAGAGATAGGGAGAAAGTTGGGAGAAAGTTAGGAGAAAGTTATGGAAATATTTGGGAGAAGATTGAGGAGAGTTTAGGGAAATGTTGGGAAAATGATGGGAAAGAAGTTATGGAAAGGTTGGAAGAGAGTTGGAAGGAAGTATGTTGGGAGAATTTTGAGAGAAAATTTGGAGAAATGTGAGAAAGGGTTGGGAGAAGTTGTTAGGAGAAAGAAGGGAAGAAAGGAGAGGAGAGGGAGAGGGAAAGAAAAAAAGGGAGGGGAGGGAGGAGGGAGGGAGAAGGAGGAAAAGGAGAAGGGAAAGAGGGAGGGAGAGGAGAGA